AGTCACAGACTGAAACAGGCTCCAGGCTCTGAGCTGGCAGTCAGCACAGAGCCCGACGCGGGGCTCGAACCCACGAACCGCGAGATCATGACCTAAGCGAAAGTCGGACGCTTAACCGACTAAGCCACCCAGGCGCCCCAAGAGTACAGATTTGAATTTGACCTTCCAGGGGCTACACGGATGTTTCGGCGAGGCTGTCCACGCCAGTACAGCTGTGCGAAGCTCACTGTGCGCTGACCAATGGTAGCTACACTTGTGGTGAGCGCAGCATGGTGTACTGAGATGTTGAGTCACTTTGTGGTACGCCTGAAACTAACGTAACGTTGTGTGTCAACTGTACTCAAAACATTTGTTTAAAAAGAAATTACTAGATCTTAGGATAAGTATACTATAAATTTCTTTTAAAAACCTGCTAAGGTGTCTTATACAGGAGAGTCAAGTGCTTAGAAAGCTGATGATGAGCCAGTGCCTTGTTTGTTTGCTATCATTGTGTGTGTGTGTGTGTGTGTGTGTGTGTGTGTGTGTGTGTGTGTATGTTTCCCCACAGGGAGGAATGCACCTGGTAGAGTAAGATTCAGACAGTTCTGGATCCTTGACTGTAATACTACATGAATCCCATAAAAACCCATGCTTTTATTTCCACAGAACTATAAAACCCTGATCAAACCCAGACAGACAGCAGGGGAGTGGTTCCTTACATGTGATAAAGGCATATGGAGATGGGGGAAAGGACAGAACTGCCCAACTCCTCAGTTGCTTTTACATTAAAGAGAATAATCTTAAAACTGGGTAGAGTGAAACAACATGGGTGAAAGGGGATGGAAGGAGGGGTCCCCGGCGGGCTCAGTCAGAAAAGCATGTGGTTCTTGATCTTGGGGTTGTGAGTTCGAGCCCCATTTTGGGTGCAGAGATTACTAAAAAAACATAAAAAAATAGAAATAAAAAAAGTTTAAAGGAAAGGCGGGGATGGAAGGACCCATAAGGAATTTGAGTATTTAGACTCTTTAAAGGAATTAAAGACTCGATATACAGACAAATTATAGAGGTCAAAATAAATAACCAATATTACCCTTGAGAAGCCATAGAAATTAAAGACTAGTCAGGAGACTGGGGATGAATAAACACTGCTCCCTTTATTAACAAGGGGAAAATGATGGACTCTGGAAAAACAAAGATCAATAAGCGTGAAAGCAATCTGTGGCAAGATTTCACAATGAATTATTCAACACATCGTCAAAGCATACCCATCTCACATAGCAGGTCAGAGCAGGATTCTGTCTACTGTCTGGGTTCGCATCCCTGCTCTGCTATACACTGGCTGTGCAACCCTCAGCATGTTGCTTATCCTCTCAGTGCCTCAGTTTCCTCATCTCTAAAATGGAAATCATAGGGGCACTTGGGGGGCTCAGTTGGTTAAGTGTCTGACTCTTAGTTTCAACTCAGGTCATGATCTCATGACTGATGGATTCAAACCCCGCATCAGGCCCTGTGCTGACAACATGGAGCCTGGTTGGGATTCTCTCTCTCTTTCTTTCTCTCTCTCTCTCCCTCTCTCTCTTCTTCTCTCCTCTGGCTCATGTGCTCTCTCTGTTCTCTCCATCTTAAAAATAAACATTTCATTAAAAAATGATAATAACAGTAATACATACTTCAGGGTGTTGACAAGATTAAATGAATTAATATAAAATGCTCAAAACAGTACTATATACTTTTTTTTAATGTTTATTTATTTTTGAGACAGACAGAGCACCAGCAGGGGAGGAGCAGAGAGAGAGGGAGACACGGAATCCGAAGCAGGCTCCAGGCTTCGAACTGTCAGCACAGAGCCCGACGCAGGACTCACGCTCATGAACCACAAGATCATGACCTGAGCTGAAGTCGGACGCTCAACCGACTGAGCCACCCAGGCGCCCCTATACTTTTATATAATTATAATTACATGTTATTATTGTATTTATAAAGCACTTGGAGAAGTGGTGATCACTAAAAATCAGTCTGAGCCAAGAACATTGCATCCAAACTAGCTATACTTCCTTTTCGATAACATGAGTTTTTAAAATAGGGAGATGCTATTTCAATAGGGCATTTGACCAGATGTTTCATTTCATCCTGAGGCCCGGACCAGTGCATAGAGGAAGTGGATGGAGAGTTGGCCAGCAATCAGATGTCATGGAAAGAACACGGGTGTCTGGATCACACAGACTTAGATTTGAAGTCCAAATCTGCAATTTCTCAGTAAAATTTTGAATAAATTATTTAACCTCTTTGACATCCAGCTCTATCATGTATAAAATGAGGATAATCGTATCTCCCATGCAGGGCTGTCGTAGGGATTTGTTGCTCATGGATAGTGCTTCAAGTGGGAGCTTGGTTGGGGTAATGGCACTAGCTCCTTTTAGCCCTACATTTTTTTGATTGTGGGCTTTTTGTTACCATCATCTGTATTGAGTGAATTGACTTGGAGGGGTGTATCTCATTATACATAATAATTTCTACGAAAAAGTTATTTAGAAACCTTTTGTGAGCCTATTATCTCTATCACCCTCTCTCTTCTCCTCACCAAGAAATCTCTCTACTGAAGTGAATATTAAAAAGTCACAGACCCTTCAAGTGGTCACAATTCCCTGACTCCGTGCAGCTATTGCACCGCCTCTTTATGGTGATAAGAAAAAGACCATTGTACAGAGAAGAAAATTACTCCAAGCAAATAGTGTACAATAGTTGGATAATTATAGTGAGAAGCAAATTGAAAAGTCAGTTTTCATAATTAGGCTCTGATATGTTGTGGCTCAAAGATTTTCATGCAGTGGAGGACTTCAGATGTGGCCAGACTTATTAAGTTGATATCCCTCTTAACCAACATCATACATCAGGCGCTTTCAGCCTAGTTGAAAGAAGCATTTGCACTTCGTATTGCTAATTTAACAGATGAATTTTTAAGTACTGATCAGTAGGCCATAGATGGGACTATTTGTATCTGGAATATGTAAGATGCAAGAGACTCTTAGCTGATGTTTTTAAGTGCTGTGAACTCCGGTACGTGTCACCCTGTGCTCGTCACCAGTGATGCACCTCAGGCCTGACAGGGAAGAGTCTTTCTCCTTATTGGTTCAAGACAGATGCTGTTTTTTTCATTCTGAATGTGTGAAATGTAACTTTGGTCAGCGCAAATCATAGAATACAGAAATAACCGCTACCGAAGTTCAGATCTTTCAGGACAAAAGTGGTCCTGCAGATCATACTCTTCCCCGATTTTTAGCCTGGAATGGCCAGATGAACCGTCATTGTATCTGCCTTCACTGCACCCAAATAAGCTACCTTTATACTTCATCGATTTTTTTAATTTACAGCCAAGTGAGTGAGCCTATAGCACAACAGTGATTTCAGGAGTAGATTCCTTAATGCCCCCCACCCATTTAGCCCATCCCACACACACACAACCCCTCCAGTAACCTTCCGTTCTCTATATTTAAGAGTCTCTTTTGTTTTGTCTCCCTCCGTTTTTATATTCTTTTAGCTTCCCTTCCGTTATGTTCATCTGTTTTGTATCTTAAAGTCCTCATATGAGTGACGTCATATGATACTTGTCTTTCTCTGACTGCCTTCACTCAGCATAATACCTTCCAGGTCCCTCCATGTAGTTTGCGATCCCTTTTTAGATTTGCGGTGCACGTATGCACCTGGTTCCCACTCAAGTGACCAGGTCTCCATCAGATACGTCAAAATAGCCTTATGCCCCTAAATTACAAGAATAACTACAGTACAATCATGTGATACATCGTGCATTTATTTATTGTGTGTTAAATAAGTTGCTTCCAAGATGGCTAGGAGTAATCTCAATAATGATTGCAAGTAGATTTCCCACTATCAGTGTTTTAAAAGACAGTGAGCATATAGTTGGTGTAAGTTTGCTTCTTCACAGGTGGTTCTTGTGTGTATTGAGTCCTTAATTATCTTGGGTGCCTTCAGGGATGATCTCGTCGCCTGTCATGTTGAAAAGAATGGTGACCTCCCTATCACTGTCATCACTGTCATATATCATAATATCACTGTTGCTCACATTGTCTCTGTAATCTGCCTTATGAAAGGACTGGGGAAAATGCTTCACTTCACCTGTAAAAAGTGGGTTTTCAGCATTTCTGTTCTTTGCCTCAAAAACATTATTGACCAAAGGCTCCGAACTTTGACACACAAGGCATCTTTCATTATAGCATTGGCAAGCCTTGATTAATTCAGGCCTAAATAACATGTCTGCCCTAGGCCCACAAACCGACCTTTTGAGTTTCTGATGTCTGGGGGATTTGGTTAGCGTCTGCACAGTGGATGGCTTGGGTGAGGAGATGTGATTTTGCGGGTGGGGTAGACAAAGTGACGGGATGGGCGTGACTACATATTGCACACCTGCTGGCCACAGAGGGCTCACTGCCTTCTTTGGATCGGATGAGGCTGCCTGATCAACTGGCTTATGGGCACGAGCTGGCTGATAGTGCTTTCCTAGGTGGCGTGATCTATAGGAGTTTTCCAGGTGAGATGACTGGAATTTTTTGTCTGAGCATGATGGCCTTTTCTTTCCTCGACTTGATGGCTTGTTTACCTTTGGTATACCAGGTGACAGACTTTGGTGTTGTGGACTCGAGGGCCTGATTAATCTTTCTGCACTGGAGGGTATGGAGGACTTTTCTAGACTTGAGACACTAGATACCTTGTCTATACTAGATAGCAGGGATTCTTTTTCTAGACTGCACGGACTAGGGGTCTTGGAGTCGCTGAATGACATTTTGGATGGTGGTCTAGCTGCCAGGGCTGGCGCATCTTCTTTCTTGAGCCTGAAAACATAGAAAATTTAGAATTTGACAATTTGAAACAGAAGTACTACTGCTATCACCAGAAGATACAGGTACTATGTCAATTTAGACTTTGGTTTTTTGTTTTTTTTTTTCTTGCTTCTAGCAGGAAAATTGGGCGCAGTAAGAATTAGAGTGCGGGGAAGCCATGACTCAGGTTACAGATATGAACTCATGCTGAACACTTTTTATTTTTGTAAGAGTATTTTACTTTTTCAGCCACATTAGATAACCACACAGCCTGCATACAAAAAGACACAGAGTGGTTTCAAGTCTACTGTTGAGAAGGACAGAGAGAATTTCACTTTGTCTAAGAATTAAACTTTACCAAAAGGTCACGAGTTGATAAGCAACTTCTGCACAGCTGTCACAACGTGTCAGAAGATAAAAATAAACTCTTTACCCAGAGTCACCCTTTTCTATCATGTTTACACCATCGCATTGTCTATCCATGCCGATTGATTTATATTCACAATATCCCTGGAACACTGAAGGGATGGAGCACGGGTATATTGTAGTCATCAGTCCTTGTACTGGGAAAATTTAGGGAACTACTATATCGGGGCCAGCCCGATCCTCCTATATGAAAGGCAGGGACTGAGATAATGAGACACCAATGGTGAATAATGTTTCATGCCATTAGGTCTTAACATGGTAGATTATCCAAGACGTTGTATTGTTTTGGGAATGGAAAGACCCAACTCCCTCTCCCTCTGCTTCTTTATTCTCAGGGTTTTAGTCAGATAGTCAAGCCCTCTTTTCCTAGACTCGATTTATAATGAAATTAATAGACTGGGGCTGAGCTGAACCCTCAATAGGAGATAGCTTTAGACTAGGCTCACATTGGTAATGTACCTGAGAATATTTCAGAGCTGAAGTGAAGGGAGCCACGTACAAGATGAGCTCTGTAGAAGTCTAGGGTTCACACGAAGTAACCACAACAACAATGAAACCTCCACTCTACGTCTACACACATGTTGCATTCTTAATTTAAGGGTGTGAAACTTACGTTCCTGCCTTGGGTGTTTCATCAGCCCAACAGTTGTAATAGATGAAACAAAAGCAGGCAAATACGAAAACTATAATCATAATGACAATTATGATAACCAGTAGACGTTTCCACAAGCTCTCCTGTTTGGTGTCCATTGATTCGACGTGTTTAGCTCCTGTCAAAGAGATGATATCACCAGAAAATGTGTTAGATCACACAGTTTTTTTGCATTTGATAGCCGTTTGCCACTCAAGGTCAAAATCCACTCTTTCCAGAAGTGATTCTTTTAAAGCCTGGGAAGCGTTTCCCTGTAAGCTTCCTCCCTGTGTCACTGCCCCAGCCACCGTCTAGAAAGCAAATCTGGGAATCATTTCTGGCTCCTCAGTACAGTTACATGGGTTATCCCTGCATCGTGCCTTGCCCACCCCATCACCTAGGTTTCTGAGTGTGTGTATGTCTTGCGCATGTGAATGTACTTGAGTGTGAATGTGTGTGTGTGTGAATGTGTATGGTGGCGAGGGGGATGGGGCCAGAAAAAAACTCATGTTGAAGCCTACTCTGTGTGAAGCACCATGCCACACTGAGGGCAGATTGAGGGCAGAGGCTGGTGGACTGGGTGGGCAAGGGGAGTGAAGGGAGTCAATATGTCTGTACTCTTTATGCTTCTATGTTCCTTGGGTTTGTCACACAGGACTAAGACTCTCAAGTAGTTTCCTAGTAACACCCAACCAACAGAAGCTTTCTGAAACACAGCCTGCCCGTCTGGTTAAGTGCTCAAGTGTATATGATAGGATAGATCATAATTTCTCAAGGTTAAGGCTAGGCACATACCTGTAGTAGGAGATCCATCGCTTCGGTTCGTATCTAAACCACTGTTTGCCCAAACGAACAAAAGGAGGACATAAACGCAAAGATTCATGTCCAGGGATTTGTTCAAATGCTCCTTCTCCCAAGGAAACTACTGTATATGATGTGGCTCAGCCCGCTGTAGGGCTTTATGACATCATTACCATTTGTGACATCATGTGACAACAGAATCTTAGCACGAAGAAGCACAGGCTTATGTGTATAAATGTTATCAAATGATTTTTAACAACTTATTTCTCCTTCCCATCAAATATTCTATCAAATTCAAGTCAAAAAGTCTGGGTGGGGCATTATTTCAAGCACAGAAGGAGGTATTGAGGGAAAAGAGGGGAAAGGGGATTGCTTAGATATTGCAGAGCTGTTTTTCCTTATTAAATGGTGAGGAAGCCCTCTGCAGTCTTGTAGTAGTAGTTCTTACGTGTTATAGGTTTGACTCCTCCTGGGCATAAGTCTCTAGAATCTGCTTCTTCATAAAATGAAGATATTACAAAGCAGTAGCCTTAAAAATAGTGTGGTCCTGGCATAAAAGTAGACACACAGATCCATGGAACAGAACAGGAGACCCAGAAGTAAACCCACAATTAGATGGCCAGTTGATCTTTGACAAAGGAGGAATGAAAATACAATGGGAAAAAGACAGTGTCTTCAACACTCAACACATGGTGTGTTTTTATTTATTTATTTATTAGTGTTCCATTTTTAATTTTTTTAATTTTTTTTTTATTTATTTCTGAGAGAGAGAGACACACACACACACACAGCGTGAGCAGGGGAGGGTCAGAGAGAGAGGGAGACACAGAATCTGAAGCAGGCTCCAGGCTCTAAGCTGGCTGTCAGCACAGAGCCTGACGTGGGGCTTGAACCCATGAACTGTGAGATCGTGACCTGAGCCAAAGTCGGACACTCAACCGACTGAGCCACCCAGGTGCCCCAGTTTTTGTTTTTTTTTAACAAGGGTAATACCAATAGGAAATCAAGTCCGTAGCTGCCACAGGGTTTCTTATTTATTTATTTGTATTTATTTTATTTCGGTTACTGTGACCTAATTTTATTGAATTCCATATTGTTTTTAATGGAGGAATCATTGACATGCGACAGTGTATTCGTTTCAGAGGTACAACATACTGATTCCGTAGTTACCTACAGTATGACATGGCCACCACAATTAGACGGTGGTATTAGAATGGCCACCAGGAGTGTCCCGAACTCTACCAGACCTGAGCACACAGGAGCCATGTCTGTGTGCCAAGCACTGAGCACTACAGGAAGGCGGTCTTCAGCTGTGAGGACTGTATGCAGACATCAAAAATAAACCTGAAAGGAAACTTCACTGGGTTGAGACTTCATTTGAGGCCTAATCCAAGGGAAGGAAGAGTCCAGGGTACCCGTCTTGCAATACCTTTCTATTATTCATTCATTTATTAATTTGTCTTCCCAATTTTGAGTTTTGTTTTTATTTATCTATTTTTTAATAAATTGATTGATTGATTTTTGAATTTATATCCAAGTTAGTGAGCCTATAGCGCAACAGTGATTTCAGGAGTAGATACTTTAATGCCCCTCACCTATTTAGCTCATCCCCCCACAACCCCTCCCAGCAACCCTGTTTGTTCTCTATATTTAAGAGTCTCTTATGTTTTGTCCCCCTCCTTGTTTTTGTATTATTTTTTGCTTCCTTTCCCTTATGTTCATCTGTTTTGTATCTTAAATTCCTTATATAAGTGAAATCATATGATATTTGTCTTTCTCTGACAAATTTCACTTAGCATAATACCCTCTAGTTCCATCCATGTCGTTGCAAATGGCAAGATTTCATTCTTTTTGATTGCCGAGTAATACTCCATTGTGTATATATACTTCTTCTTTATCCATTCATCCATTGATAGACATTTGGGCTCTTTCCATACTTTGGCTATTGTAGATAGCACCAAATAGCTACCTTTATATAGCAAAAGGAAAGTTGGGCTCTGATTTCTTGGCGCAGACGAACTTCATGCCTTGTCTGGTTTTTTCCTGCCCTTACTTCTTCAATCAATACTACTTCTGTACAATTATTATTCACATCTGCTACACATCACTCATCTTCTCCTTCACACCCCCTACTCCTGTCGTACAAAATTAGCAGTCCTCTGAATAACTCCTGTTCTCTCATTGTCCTGTCTGTTCCTTTGCTTATGTTCTCCATTCTACCTGAAAGTCCTCCTCCCCGCCCCCACCCCCACCTGGGTTTGAAACGAGAAACAGAAATGAGAGCATCTGTTTATATTAACAGTGATCATACGGCACGCTGAATCCTTTCATTCACAAGTAAGACATCCGAGGATTTTCACTCATTCTTTTTTTTTTAATGTTTTTAATGGTTTTATTTACTTTTGAGAGAGAGAGAGTTGCAAGCAGGGGAGGGACAGAGAGAGAGAGAGAGGGGGAGACACAGAATCTGAATCTGGCTCCATGCTCCAAGCTGTCAGCACAGAACGGGGCTTGAACCCACAAACCATGAGATCATGAGAGAGAGAAAGCCCAAGTGGGGGAGGGACAGAGAGCAAGAGAGGGAGACACAGAATCTGAAGCAGGCTCCAGGCTCCGAGAGGTCAGCACAGAGCCCCATCCGGGGCTTGAACTCACATTCTGCGAGATCATGACCTGAGCTGAAGCTGGATGCTCAATTGACTGAGCCACCCAGGTGCCCCTTCAGTAATTCTTAAATACCACATCTTTCCAGCACAGAACACACACACTCTGATACGAGGACAGCAGCTGGATCACGGAGGGGACACTGGTGGGCCGATGGCTAGACTTACTAAGCAATGTGTCCCTTCACATAAGCCTTGCAACACGTGAAGTCAAATCCTGGGCTCAGCAAAATTATACGTATGACAGACAGTAGAAAGGATAGTCGTAAAGCTTTTCGAGTGACAAACTGCACAATTTTGAGTTACATCATTGAAGTAATCTCCCAGCTTGGAACAGGGCAAAAGGAGTAGACAGAATAACAAAAGTTTTGGAGAGAAAATAAGTGAAAGTGACCTTGGGGTGGGTGGGGGGAGGGAATGAATTTACAGCCAGATGTTGAAATAAATCATACACACAGCTGCACATCTATTTGCAAATGATGATCTAAACGAAAATAAGAAAACTGTTCTTGCTCCACTGTGAGTGGTACCTCATTTTGCTCGGTACCCTCTCCTGCAGACATGCCTCGGCTGTCTGCACCGAAGTCGTCTCCAGATACAGTACTGACTTGCTTTCATTTCCAGGGGCTCAAATCCACCGGGGGACCACAGGCACCTCCATTCTGGCTGCAGCCCTCTGGCTTTACTCAGAATAAGGAGCATAGTGGGAAATGGTGATTCTCCAAATTGCCCCAGCCGCTGTTCCTGTCATAGCCACACGCCGTTCCCTTGGCAGCTGTGGGGAACTCAGCCTTCTGGGAGTTTCCTCTAGTGAGAGAGGTAAGCTCATAAAGTAATAATATACATAACATGGAATGAATCACAACCTAGATTTCTCCTGGATACGCAGCTTCAAGTCCCCTAGCCTTTGCATATTTAATTTAAGAATGCTGCAGACTGGGGCGCCTGGGTGGCTCAGTCGGTTGAGCATCTGACTCTTGATTTTGGCTCAGGTCGTGATCCCATGGTTCAGGGGTTCAAGCCTCACATCGGGCTCTGCCCTGATGGTGTGAAGCCTGCTAGGGATTCTCACTCTTTCCCGCTCTCTGTCTCTCTGTTCCTCCCCTGCTTGTGTGCTCTCTCTCCTCTCTCTCTCTCTGTCTCTCCCCTACTTGTGCTCTCTCTCTCTCAAAATAAATAAATAAGCTTTAAAAAATTTAATTCTACAGACTGACTTATAGAGGAAAACAACGACACCATCCTACACCCAGTACCTCAAAGGGCGTGCAGATCTCCTAGTTGTCTCTTGCCACATTTTCTTGCTTACATTCAATTCTCTGTCATGCCTGTATCTTCTTGTGGTTGTTCCTTTTTCTCCACCCTATATGGATCTGGGCATGGATCCTAACTAGTTGCAAGATTCAGCAAAATTTTTAAAAAAAGACATCCAGGTACAGACTTGCTGTGTTTTATCTCATAACCCTAAACTTAACATCATTTTCTGGATCGACCCAAAATACCTCTCTCAGAGGCAGGTGTGTGTAGAATGGGGAAGATGCCAGGGTAAGGGAGGGGAGCTTACAGAACAGCAAAGCAGTTTACTTGCGATCTAAATTATGCATTTCTGTTTTTTAAGTGCTATGGCCATTCTGATGATAACAAACTTTTTATAAAAATATTTTTTTTAGTTTTGAGAGAGAGAGAGAGAGGGAGGGAAAGAGAGCAGGCATGCACGTCTGGGAGGGGCAGAGAGGAAGAAGGAGACAATCTGAAGCAGGCTTTGCATTGTCAGTGCAGAGCCCAGTGCAGGGCTCGAACTCATGAACCCTGAGATCATGACCTGAGCCCAAGTTGGACGCTTAACCGACTGAGCTACCAGGGTGCCCCAATGATCACAAACTTTGCACTTTGCTCCTCAGGATTCCTGTTTTCCTATCTTGTTGCTAAACCCTGTCTGTCCCTCTTTCCCCTCTTAATTATCAACACTTGGACTTTGTCGTGTTCGGATTTTTCCAGGATAACAACAACCCCTACCGTTTTATCAGATAGGATGTTCAGGCTTTTTAAATGTTTCTCAGGCTAGCCCGTTCCCAAGTGTAAGGTGGCAGGGGGCTGCAGGAGGGTGCTGTACCTCTCACCCGTTAAGTAACCATCAGGGGCACCTGGGTGGCTCAGTCGGTTAAGCCTCCGACTTTGGCTCAGGTCATGATCTCACAGTTGGTGGGTTCAAGCCCCACGTCGGGCTCTGTGATGACTGTCGGCTCAGAGCCTGGAGCCTGTTTCAGATTCTGTGTCTCCCTCTCTCTGACCGTCCCCTGCTCACGCTGGCTGGCTAGCGCTCTCTCTCTCTCTCTCTCAGAAATAAAATAAAACATTAAAAAAAAAAAACCACGTTAAGTAACCATCAGGTTATTTTCGCAGATAAAATCAATATACTCCTAAGAAGAGGCCGGCTAATCAGCTTTAAAAATAGACTTTTTTCTCTCCTCCATTATATAACTCAACAACAAACGGAGGAAAAGGCAACATTATGTGTGACCAGGTATAGAATGAGCAGTGAAACTGAACAGGCCTTCATGGCAAAACTGCTAGGTCAATCTGACCTAAGCTCTGAAGGGTAAGTGGTTAAATGGCTTCCCGAGTAGTCAGACTTCTTCCGTATTGAGTTCCCCTCGTGGGAATCGATCCAAGTTGCCAGAGTTAACTATTCTTTCCACTTCATCTTGTTCACGTTTGTATGTGCCATAAGTGTTTAAAACATCCTTGATTGACTTGAAGAAACTCAAGGGAATTAAAAATCAAAGCCACCACTTCCAGTGGAGCAATATTGCTCTTACACCAGCGTTTAAGACCAGAGTCTCAAGGCAAAACTATTCTGACGCTGAGCGTCTTAGTAACGATTCCTTGGGGGAGGAAGCACTTTCTCTTTGGACGAAGATGTGTTTCCGGTTACATACGCAGGTAGGACAACACGGAAGAGCCGAAGTTGATTCTGGATGGTTGAATTCAATAATAAGGAGTTAATATTGTAGACCTACGCCCAATCCACGGTTCGGCAAGGTGTGTGAAAGGTGTGACTTGAAGGCTCCTCTGGGAAAATTTTGAGAGCAATGTGGATTTTTATAGGTCTTAAGATTCCGGGATTGCTACCTTGAAAACTTGCCCTACCAGCCACCAGTCAATCCAATTGGACAAATCTTCCCAAAACAATCTCCCCACTTCTTGCACACAAAGGATGGCAATCAGTTTATTCTGTGTCCTGAATACTTAGAACAAAACTAAGTTCTAACAGACCCACAGTCCTATAAAAATACAAGGATACATACTACATGGAAATTCCTAATAAATGAACCTCATACAAAAACCTCATTGACCAGCCACATCTGATCCAAACTCCAAAGGTAATTTGGAATCACATTAGTTATTTTTATTCCATTAGTAACATATTAGAGATACAAACACCCTCAATCTCTCCTATATATTAGACTTTTAAACTTGTACTTGACATAATAGTTACCTCAAGAAGTGAATTTCACCAACAAATAATTAAAATATATTAAACTAGATTAAGCAACCATGATAAAAGGAAGTCAATAATATGCTAATTTCAAAAGACTTTTTGCTATGCCTTGAGGGCACCAGAAATTAGATTTTAGCTTCACAGGAGAAGAGAAAAATGATCAACAGCTGGCCCCTCCGCCTCTTCCCTCCAATTTCTCATTCCAGAAAATGAATTCTTGGTGGGGAGGGAGATTTATTTCGGTGGGCGTTCTCTGAGCATTGACTCGGTGCTGGCATTGTACTTGTTATGGAGTCAGAGATGTGAATGTCAGGCTTCCTTCCTTTGGGAACGCCAAGTCTATTGAGGGAAATAGGCATGTAAACAGGCAATTGCATTATTGTGGTAAAGAAGTGACCAAAGTATGCATGGAAGTGATAGGCAGTGTACATTTCATCATATATTTAAAAAATCAGAGATGCCTAAAAAACATTAGGATTCTGAATCTGTCCTGGTGAGGAACCCACTTTCTTTGTCTGTAACAATTGGCATGGGCCACGAAAATTAGTGCTCAGAGAATAAAGAGATTAAAGAGTGTGGTTTTCTTTTTGTTCTTTTTCCTTAAGAAAAATTTTTTAAGTAATCTCTACACCCGACATGGGGCTTGAACTCACAACCCCAAGATCAAGGGTCACATGCTCTACTCGCTGAGCCAGCCAAGGCACCCTCCCTTTCCCCCTTTTTCTTTTTCCTATTTATTAGTATACATTATGGTGTAGGACAGAAGGAGAGTCAGGATGTTGGGCACTACATAGGAGACATGGTATAAATAGGGCACAGAGGAAAGTACTAGAATGCCATGTTCAGGTACCAAAATGGGTCATTGCTGGGTCATGACATGAAAAGAAAGTCAGTGGCTAGATTTTGTAAGACCTTAGATACTACCCGTGTAGGCCAGGTCAAAGCTTAGACTTTATCCTATAAGTCAGAGACCAGCAAACATTTTTTTAAAATTTTGTTTTGTTTTGTGTTTGCAAAGAGCCAGATAATAAATAGAGCCTTGCTGACCATACCTTCTTGACTGCAGTTACTCATTTCTGCCTCAGTTCTGCCCGTGGATTCAAAAGCACCAACAAATAATAAGTAAATGAATGGTCCTAGCTGTGTTACAGTAGAATGTTACTAGGGGAAAAAAAAAAAAAAGCCAATGGGCTAGATTTGACCCAGGGGTCATAATTTGTCCACCCATAATCTAAATGATAAAGAATCATTGGCAGGTTTTAAGCAGTGGCATGCCGTTTACATGCGAGATAGAAGTTAATGTATTTAATAAGCTTCTGCAGGGAATCTGATATATTCAGGTTTAGTAAGCAAGATTCTGCGGTGTGGGCTCAGCAGCATATATACTCACATGGGAATGATACAGAGAAGTTTAGCACGGCCCTCGCCAAGGATGCCACGCAAATTCGTCAAGTGTTTCATATTTTTAAATTAAAAGAAAAAAAAACTCCATAGAAGTTTCCACAGTAATGGAATGTTCTATATCTGCATTTTCCAGTAGAGAAGCCCCTAGCCACATGTGACTATTGAAACAGAGCTAGTGTGACTGAAGAACTGACCTCTACATGTAATTAAGTTCATTGTAAATAGTTACATGGGGATAGTGGTTCCCCTGTCGAACAGCACAATTCTGGGGACTGGCTGACATTGGGATTTCGACCCAATTTTAAGTGGACGCACAAAGCAAAGAACTATGCTAGGAAATACCTAGCCAAGTGGTATTGGGCATCAGCAGTAAGTCTGGAAGCGATCGCAGAGCAAGTTCTGAGAACACCTTAAAATCATTCATTTCCATTCCTTTACTCAGTCCCTTTCCATCTTGTCTGTTGCAATCCTTTGCTTAATTTTCTACTGAGTTTTTAAGCTTTCTTTATGTATGCACGCAAGCCATTTACAACGTGAAATGGCCATTGATAATGTGTTACAAATATTTTTTAAAAAATTTTAAATATTTTTCTATTTCTTTTGACTTTGTTTACTGTGCTCCTTACCATGGACTTTATTGTAATGTAGTATTTTAATGATCGTTCCTTTGGTGACCTCTAAGTGTTGTGTTACTCTTATAAGCCTTCTCTACCCTGTAATTACTGAAAAACCTTCCATAGTTCCTTCTGGAATATTTATGACTTGATTATTTTTAAATATTTGCTACATGTGGCATTTATTTATTTTGGTTTAAAGTGTAAGGAAGAGCGACACCTGGGGGGTTCAGTCTGTTAAGCATCCAGCTCTTGACTTTGGCTCAGGTCATGGTCTCATGGTTCGTGAGATCAAACCCCATGTCCAGCTGTGTACTGGTGGTGCAGAGCCTGCTTGGGATTCCCTCCCTCTCTCTCTCTTTCTCACTCTCGCTCTCGCTCTCTCACTTGCTCTCGTTCTCGCTCTGCCTGCTCCTCCCCCACATGCACACATACCCTTTCTCTCTTAAAGTAGATAAATAAACATTAAAAATAATAAAGTGTGAGGAAAAGATCTAACCTATTTTTTTTCTAGACCCTTACCCAGAGGACACTAAACCATATATTGAATAAGTGATTTTTACCCACAAACATGGCAACGTATCATTTAAAAAAAAATCTCCTGTATCTATTTACATATATAGCTCAACTGTGTATTCTCTGCTACTGAGCTATCCATGAGCCAGGATCATACTCTTTAAATTATTAAAAAGCTTATGATGTGTTTGAATATTTGTTAAGATTAGTTCTCTTCCTCCTCTTTTTTTTTTTTTTTTTACTTTTTAAAAAAGATGTTTATGTATTTTGAGAGAGAGAGAGAGAAGGGGGGAAGGGCAGACAGAGAGGGAGACAGGATCTGAAGCAGGCTCTGTGCTGACAGCAGAGAGAGACCAATGCAGGGCTTGAACACACAAACTGTGAGATCATGACTTGAGCCAAAGTCGGATGCTCAACTGACTGAGCCACCCAGGTGCCCCACTTTTTAAATATGGATTATAGAATCCACTTTTCTAGTTGCTTCTTACTTTGGGAAAAGCAATGTGTTTATGCAGTGTGTTTTCCTACTCAAAAACATAGTATGCCTTATGAATCATTCAAGCATCATTCTATATCTCTCTATAGCATTTTTAAAGATTTATGTCATTCTTTTTTCTTAGCATATTGTTATGAAAAGTTTCACACATACCTAAACTCCCATAGATAAGTCTTATGTGTTTGACACATACAACATTAGTGTAACCCAAAGTTCTGTCAGGATGTAGAATATTACTGTTAAACTGAATGATTTAGATTGATTTTCAAAAGTTATACATACCTACCAGGGGCACTTGGGTGGCTCAGTCGGTTAAGCATCTAACTTTGGCTCCAGTCACGATCTCATAGTTTGTGGGTTCAAGCCCCACGTCGGGCTCTGTGCTGACAGCTTGGAGCCTGGAGCCTACTTCGGATTCTGTGTCTCCCTCTCTCTCTGCCCCTCCCCTATTCTCTCTCTCTCTCTCTCAAAAATAAACATTTAAAAGAAATTTTTTTAAAAAGTTATATATACCTCAATTTTATGAGATAAATCCTACGTGGTAATTATATATTACACTTTTTACATATTATGCGATTTGTTTTGCTAATATTTTTGAACATCTTTCTGTTATGTTCATGAAGAATATCACTTGATAATTTTCTTTTGTTGTAATGTCTTTCCCTGGTTTTGGTGTTAGTTTTCTTCTAGCCTCATAACTTGTCAAGAAGTGAGGGCACCCAAGTGGCTCTGTCGTTTGAGTGTCCAACTCTTGATTTCGGCTCAGGTCATTATCTGTGGGCTCCACCCCATACTGAGCTCCGTGTTAAGGGTGGGGCCTGCCTGGGATTCTCTCTCTTTCTCTCTCTCTCCCTCTGCCCATCTCCCTCACTCATGCTCTCTCTTTCTCTCTAAGATAAACACACACACACACACAAACATGTCAAGGAGCAATGTTTTCTCCTCGTTTCTAGGAATTTGAGCAAGATTAGCTTTGCTTCTTCCTTAAATGTTTGATAGGTTTTGAAATAGGTCTCAGATTTTTTTGTGTGTGAAAATTTTCTAATAATGAACTCATTTACTTCATAGATGGCAGGTTATTGAGATTTTCTGTTCCATCAAGTGTCAGTGTTGGGGCGCTGGGTGGCTCCGTCGGTTAAGTATCCAACTCTTGCTTTGGCTCAGGTCATGATCTCATGGTTCATGGGCTCAAGCCCCAAGTCAGGCACTAGGCTGACACTGCAGAGCCTGCTTGGGATTCTCTCTCTCCCACTTTCTCTGCTCCTCTCTCACTTGATAGCACACGCACACTAGTGCTCTCTCGCTCTCTCTCAGAATAAATAAACTTAAAAAAACAGTGTCAGTTTTGTTAAGTAGGATTTTATAGGGAACTTCTCTATTTGTCAAATCCATTAACATTGTTTTATGGCTATACGATCTATGTTTATAATCCCTCTTGTTGCTATTAGTAACTTTTTCTCTCTTTGCAAAATCTATGAGTTTATTTTACCTTTTGTTCTTTTCTAGCAACCACAACCAATTTTTAAAAAGCTTTATTGAGATATAATCCACATGCCATACTTTTTACTTATTTAAAATGTGCAATTAAGGGGCGCCTGGGTGGCTCAGTCCGATAAGCATCTGACTTCGGCTCAGGTCATGATCTTGAGGTTCATGAATTTGAGCCCTACATGGGGCTCTGTGCTGACAGCTCAGAGCCTGGAGCCTGCTTCTGATTCTGTGTCTCCGTCTTACTCTTCCCCTCCCCTGCTTGTACTCTGTTTATTTCTCTCTCTCTCAAAAACAAACATTAAGAAAAATTTGTTTAATGTGCAATTAATGCTTTTAGGGTACTTGCAGGAATATACAATAATAAACACTATTTAATTTTAGAATATGTTCTTTCCTCCTGAAAGAAATCCACAGCCATTAGCCATCTTTGTGAATTTTCTCTTTTGGCTATCTGTTTTCAATTTCATTTATAACTGCTATTATCTTTACTATTTCCTCCCATCTATTCACTTTGGCTTTACATTGCTCTTCTTTAACTTTTTAAGATGAAATTTTAGGTCATTGAATTTAGGCCATTATTTTCTAATATAAGCATTATAATTACATATTTTCTTTTAATGCCACATTATCTGTGTCCTACATATTTTGATGGATTGTACTTTTATTATCATTTAGTTCAAAATTTTTTCTAACTTTCTTTATGACATTTTTTTCTGTGATCCATGGACTATTTAGAAGTGTGCTTTTAGATTTCTTTCTTTCTTTTCTAATTCAATTCAGTTGTAGTTTGAGAACTTACTCTAGATGATATTGGTCCTTTCAAATGTATTGACACTTTTTTTTGGCCAAACACTCTTGGGGACTGTACCATGTGTACTTGTAAAGAAAATATATTCTGCAAATGTTGGGTATACTCTTATACAAAGGTCACCTAAGTCATAAAAGTTGATAATATTGTTCAGATCTTTTATGAGTTCTAAGAGCCACTGGAGATTATGCTTGTGATCCCACAGGACCGTATATATTTGGATTCTTTAAAAGCTACTGCCTAAGGGGTGCCCTGGTGGCTCAGTTGGTTAAACGGCCAACTTCGGCTCAGGTCATGATCTCATGGTCTGTGAGTTCGAGCCCCGCATCGGGCTCTGTGCTGACAGCTCAGAGCCTGGAGCCCGTTTCAGATTCTGTGTCTACCTCTCTCTCTGCCCACCCCACCCCCCCGCCCCATGCTCTCTGTCTCTCAAATAGGAATAAATGTTAAGTTTCTTTTAAAAAAGAAATCATGTCTAAGAAAATAGAATACCAAGTCTTGTATTTAATTATTGCTTCAATTGTTTTTCTGTTTTCTGTTAATTTATATAGCCCATTATATTTCAAAAAAATAAATACATAAAATAGAATTCCCGGTCTGAGAATTCCAACATCTCTGCCATCTAGTTGAGATGCTCATGCTCACCCTGTCTCTTCAAACTATGTCTTTTGGCTTTTAATATGCCTTGTAATTTTTTTAATTACTTATTTTTTATATGTATTTATTTTGAAAGAAACAGAGAGAGAGAGTGGAGGAGAGACGAGGGAGAGAGAGGGAGAGAGAGAATCCCAAGCAGGCTCCACACTGTCAGCACGGAGCCCGACGTGGGGCTTGAACTCACAATCATGAGATCATGACCTGAGCAAAAGTCAGATGCTTAACCCATTGAGCCACCCAGATGCCCCCTTGTTGTTTGATGTTGTTGTTGTTGTTTGTTGTTGTTGTTGTTGTTGAGGCAAACACATTGTAGTGGGTAAAAGGAACTGAAGTTAACAAAGATTTAGAATGAGGATTTATATTTAAATATAAAATTTCCTATGCTCTTCTCTCTCTCTCTCTCTCTCTCTCTCTCTGACTCTCTCTCTCTCGTCTCCCCTGTTGTCTTTGGCTTTCCCTAGAGACTTCTTGAATAAAATCC